CTTTATGATGGGAGATAAAAAACAAAAATCAGAGATTCGGATGGTCTTTGAAGAAAGCAAGCTCGACTGCACAATAACGAACGAATTAGAATGAACACTATAAGTAAACTATGGTTCTCACCCTCGATTACCTTTGGTCAAGTTTTCTTAGGGAATAATATAGGGCATTCCGCTGCTGGAAGGATGCAGTTTTCTGATTAGGTTGGATAGACAGACAAACACTTTTGTGTTGCAGACCCTTTCTTTCACAAAAGACAAAACCTCTTTCGGCCACCATTCTAAACATGACGCACATCCCATAATATCGCTTCTGGGACAGAGAAACTTGCTTTCAAATTCCGTCAAATCAGATTGCCTAGTTCATCAGTTGATGAATTGAGACTCTGCCTCAAGAAAAAGAATAATGCACTTTTATCCAAATTCATAGAAACTGAAAAATAGAAAAGCTCGTTTTTGATTGGTCGAGTTAATGGGACCTCGAATTTGAAATCTGACTTCATATTCAAGTTCCTGGATGCCGAAAACCTATAAAAAACTTTGATCACAACTCAGAAAATGCAAAATAGAAAAGCTTGTTTCTCATTGGTTGGACAGACAAATATTTTTGTATTGTAGACCCTTCTTTCAGAAAAGGGAATATATATATATATATTTTTTTCCTATCTTGTATTCATATTAACTATCTTCTGTTTCAAGCTACTCAAAGGGAATTAGCGAAGACCATTGAATACTATAATCTTATATATAGAAACAATCATATCTGTGTCTGAACAAATATTGAGAATCGTTAGAAAGACAACAAAAAAAACGCAGCTAAATCTCATGTAATTCATTGAAATGTTTATATACATATTAAACATTAGATATCACAGAAAAATATTCAATATTTATGAGAAATGTGTTGGAAATCTCTAAGTATATGTGAGACATTCCGAAAATTGTCTATAGTCCACCGACTATATCCCCTATTATATTCTCATCTTGAGGGTGAGTATCAAATTAACTACTATCGATGTCAAAATATGATGCATCTCGATATTTTTTAATTATTTCGAGAACGAAAGCAGCTAGAAACCTGCGGTTTTCGCCATTCGAAAGAGAAATGTGGGGGAAGTAAAACTCTACTAAATCAGGTTAATCACGAAGTGGTCCAGCTGGTCAGTTTTAGCTGTAGATTTTGACCAGAAGTTTTCGAGAAAATTTCCTGAACTAACCATGACTTTTAGTTAAGTCATTCGGTAGGGAAAACATTTCTCTGTCGATCTACGCAAGGCTGACCCTTCCAGCTTATTCCGTTCAAGAGTTATAGGCATTTTACTGAAAGCCTTGAAATTGGGCAACTGACCGCTGGTCATTCTGAAGTGTATCGAGTTTGGGGTAATCAACTAAACTGAGTCGAATGCTGGTATTTGTTATTAGATTCAACATGATCAGGAGTCATTATATCACGATTTTTGGAATTCAATCTATAGCCAACCTTATATGGGACTGTTAATATTGTAACAGACTCTCCCAGAACTATGAAGAGTTATTCAAAAAATATCCATCTGGCATGTTTTTGAAATGCGTATTACTGTGTTTTGTGATTGAATCAATTATCCTCAATTAAGATACATTATATGTTTTGTTTTAACACTATAATCTATCTTTTGAATCGTTCATCATAATGAACAACGCCAAAACCATTTGTTGTCGGTGGAACGCGTCGATATCTAATATCAACAAAAGATACTTTTTACTCACACCTGATAATTCTTTCGAAATAGTCTTATTAATATATTGAAACAGATCTTCCTGTCTGGTGCGAGTGTGTAACAGATTTCCTTCCAGACAAAACGTGTTTCATCTTTATGTCGCTTGAGGTAACAAACGCAGACTATATTCTATATTGAAAGACGAAAGCAAAAACACGAGAAATAAGGTGACATTGCTAGACCTTTTTGTTGCGAAATTTAACAAATCGCTACTGAAATATAAGGACAATATACACAAGATTTTAGAAATATTATAGACATTTCTCATTCGTATTTCAACTGCAAAAGGCCATCTGATTTCTTATTCACTGATACGGAAAGAGTTCTGCCAACTTAGTGAATATCTCTTCAACAATGTAGTAGCGCTGCGAGCGGCGGCAGTGAGGACTAAGCTCCCCAGAAATCTCCCAGGCTCCCTCAGAGTTGGGACGATCTGTCGTTTAAAGTGGAAGAGTATACGTCTTGTTAGCCTTAGAATGACGTCTGAAGAGCTCGTTCCCGTAGGAATTTTATGTGGCTCCGTCTCGTCAACGATGAAATAACACAAATTTTCGAACCCAGCTACACGTATGCATTTCTCAATTGATGCAGCTCCAAACAACCATTGCATAAAATCGACTGAAGTCTGAACTATACACAACCACACTGATAAACTTGTTTTTCTCAAACTTCATATTACATCAATGAACACAAATTAGAGCCGTCAAAAAAAAGCTAAATACAATCTCCAAAGTAGCTGTTACGCGACTCAGAAATGTACAACATCAGCGCTATCTATGACATCGATACAAAACTAGTAACAATCAAAATACAAATCTTTTCACACTGCTTGAGGAATCCACAACAATGTACACGAAATTCAGACGAGACAATACATTCAGTAATATGTCTCCATCGGAGACCTACTCCAACAAAGAAGGCTTGCTGCTTTCAACTAGTTTCCCCGAAGCTCATTTGATTTCGTAACAAATCCGACTAGAACTGAAATCGACAAGAAATGCAAGATAACTGTATGTTAAAAGATCAAACCTAGAAATTCCGACTATTTCCTCAACAGGCGTCCAAGCTGACTCCGTAGCGATCTCTGAGTTATGCATATGTATTCTTCTTTTCGATCCCACCCTCACTATCGAGACCGCCTGTGTCCCTCTTTCGCCATCATCCTCACTAGTGGGATCGCCTGTATCCGTCTTTTCGTTCTCACCCTCACCTTCCGATGAATATTTTTTGAATAACTCTGTATAGAGACAAGACGGAGACTTACGGTTCTCACCGTTGAAAAGTGGAGATAAAGCAGTATCGAATCATATATTCCACTACTATCTGACGTGGTTTTTTCCAGGATATAAATATCCTACATCTTCTATTGATACACATCATGTCAAGTGTCTGTTTTGGGGTCAAAGGTTATATCTCTATATCTCTTATACCACCTATATCTAGTATACCTCCTTATCCCTTTATACGTTATCCTTTATGTATAAGTCTACTAAAATTGTAAATGAATCAGTAGAGAATTATCATCAAAACACTGTCTTTTTCTTAGTGCTTTTTTAGTGCATGTAATATAGATCAGATGGCTAGCTAAATCGACTCGTACGCGGTTTAGAGTGCATAAAATAATGTTATTTTGTTGGAAACAGACTTCCGACGCCCCATATGATAAATTCAAAAACACAAAGTCGAATTTCGTTGAGTAGTCGTTTTTACTTCTCGGTGCCCTCTACTCTGTGCTCATATTACGGTTTTTTAACCCTGTTGCACAACTTTTTCTGTATTTTTGAAAACGCCATTCGATAGAACTCGGAAAACTACGCTTATAGTTCAATTCCATGCTAATGTTCTGTGCTGAAATTTTCCGTACTGAAAATTCGATAACCCATTTGTGGTATTAAGAAAAGAAAAGAAATGCCATCCGCCTGTGAATTATAGCGGATAGTAATAAATTAGTTCTATACACATATAGATTAGCGTTAAAAAAAGTGTAGAAATAAATTCGAACCTATTTATAATGAATTATTTCCTATTCTGGTTCACACTTTGCTAGAGATTCGACTTTTTGAATGAAACGATCGGTGTAAACAAAAAGCAACAATTGTATACTTCAAGTTTCGTGAGAGATTGTCATTATGGAGTCTTGACTGTTTCCGCTCTCCTCCTACTACTTGCATCGTTGTTATATAGGTTAGAGTTTAGAGCTGTTACTCTACTTTAAACTACACGATACAAGTTTTTTCGTAATCTAAATTCGAAAAACTATATAAATTGAAAAAAAATTTAAATGGTATAGTTTGCAGTAGATTGATAGGGAATAAAGTCCATATGTAAAAATTGAAATAATTATTTTCTGTATAATATTTCACCGAGAAAACGACTCATGAGGGTACATCTATCTTTTCGTTACTTTCTAATTCAGTCTTGAGTTGAATTAGTGTTGCTTGCGTTTTGAGTGTTGCCGAATGATTTTGTGGTAAGACACTACGTTGAATATTCAGAGCTTGCTCGTACAATTCATGCGCCTGATAATACTCTTTTCGGCGATGATGCAATTTACCTTGCTGATAGAGTGAGATGGCCGCGTCGGAACTCTGAGCTGATCCATTGGCGTCATACATGGCGAGTGCTCGTCGAAAGCAGTCGAGTGCCTCTTTATCATTGTCTTCGTCATTGTGCTTGTAAGCAATAAGTGTTACACCTAAATTATTTAACGTTCGACCCAGTGTCAGACGACTGATTGGCTCGACACGCTCTTCAATATGGAGTGCTTTATAAAGATACTCAAGACCTTTGGTATATTGTTTTTGGCAATAATACACAGTAGCCATATTATCGAGTAAGATGGCAATTTCAAGATGAATCTCAGGTAAACATTGCTGATATACTTGAAGAGCACGCTGATAATATGTTAATGCTTCATCGTATTCTCCCAAATTGTTGTATGTAAAACCGACATTATTGAAACTAATCCCAATATCCATGTGATCATCGGGCAGTGTTTTCTGTTTGACACGAAGGGCTTGCAAATGATAATCAAGTGCTTTGCTATATTCACCTTGATAATTGTATGTTTGTCCAATGTTGTCCAATGTGATACCTATCTCATAATGCCCACTGGGCCGTTCGCCATCACTGACCTCATGCGCTTTGTTGAAATATTCCAGCGCCTCGATGTATCGGCCCTGGATCTTATATGCTAATCCTATGTTGTTGAAGATAGCTGAACTTGATGAAATTTTCATTGCTTGGTGATAATAGTTTAAAGCTTGCTCGTGTTCATCCATTATCACATGAATAGTTCCAATATCGTTAAGTATATCACGCAGCTTTTGTTGGCACGGCAAATCGTTGGTATTTTCCTTCTCATAGGCACGATCGAGTTTTTCTCGAGCCTCTCGATATTTTCCTTGACACTTATCAATCCAAGCGAGATTGTACAGAATATAAACATCATCTTGGTCATGTAGTTTAAGCAAATCATTGAAATAGGCTCGCGCTTTTTCAAACTGACCGACAATAATAAGAAATTCACCTAGCTTAATAGTTGGTGTTAGTGCGACCATACGTTTTCGATAAAAATCAATGTATTCTTTGGTGACAATATCAAGTCCTTTGTCGGTACCAGTCAATCGAATCACCCAATTCTGTTCTACATCGTCGAAGGCGACACTAGTCACAATGAACGTGGTACCAATGTCGAATAGGACTTCTTGTTCATCGATCATCTTGCTCATATACGAAATATCTGCAAACACGAATGATTTCAAGTTTGTCGGTAGTTCAAGTTCGAACACAACTGCATGTAGTTCACCACGCCGTTTCGACGACATTGCACCTAAAACAAGTGAAATATCTTGAATCGTTCTACAGAAATGGTTTTAAGGATGACGTGAGCCTCTGAGCAATAATCAGTTTGAATTGTAACAGGAAGCAGAGACCGACGATATCAATATTGTACGTACAGCTTCTTGCATTCTGATACATGTAGAAGTCGAAAAGTCGGTTTGATTATTCGGTTTTTCGATTCTTCAAGTATTCGAAAATTCAAAGCTGAAGATGAAGAGAGAGGGGGATTGTGTGTGAGCGAGGGTGCGAGAAGTGTGAAGAGGATCTACATGCAGGAGTGCAGGAAACTCTTATTGAGGTGGAATTCTATATAAAGGGTGCTTTTTACATGTCAGTGAAGGGGGTTCTTCATAAAGAGTACCTCTACGTGAGAGGGCGAGTTTACACGAAGACGATGGGAGCATCTTCGTGAACGGGACTTCTGTGAGAGTTTGGGGGGATTTAGGATGCGAGCAGTGTCATGATTAGACATGGGCGGGATCACCGTGACTGGTGTGACCAACTTCTTTAAAAATATCGTGACCGTGGCGTAACCATGACCAAAATCTGGTTATGAATGATAACCAAAAATTTTTAATTGGGTCATATACCAGCTATTTTTTAATTTGCATTGAAAGATCAACAGCACTGTTTAGACTTCCAAAAGATTGAAATTACAAAAATTTCGAAAATTTTGAAAGTGACACTCCATAAGCTTCGTTACTTCAAAAAATTCGGTAATTTCCGCAATTTCCAAAATTTTCCTAATTTCGGATATTTCCTAGATTTCTGTAACTCCGTGTATTATCGAAAATACCTTTCTTTAAGTTTACGTGCCCTTGAAAATCACGGAAATTTCCGTAATTTTCTTTTTTGGAAACCTGAACGTGCCTCAAGATTAAATATTTTATATTTATTATTGTTTCAGTATGTATCAACATCTTTTTTTAATTATGCTAATTCAGAACCAAGAAATATAATCAATACAATATTCACTCACAATTAGACGTCGGCATGGCTAGCATAATTGTTGTGACTCACGATCACAGCGAACATGATCGCGACCGCAACCAAACTCATTGTGCGTGGGATCCGACGTGATCAGAAAATATTGATCACGCCGTTGCCTAGTCGTGAGAGATGAGGGGACAACATTCGGATGTGAAGTGTGTCATAGTCACACGTCAGACTGCATAGTCGAATGGAATATTCGAGTAGGCGATGTGGTTTGTTGAGTAGAATCGACTTTTCGGTTTCCACACTACTACTTTTTTGAGCATTTATGCCCAATCTGACGTCTCGACAGAACCAAGCCTACTTTTTATACAATTGTATAACATGCTGTAATGGCCCTAGGACCGATTGCATGTCTTATTAGTTATTTTCTCTATCAATAAAGCTTAAACCAACCAAGCTGTAGATCATTCAAACAATAAAATGGTATTGCAAGGAGTAAAGCTCGGAATGTGCAATTCAGGAATTCGATGTATTCCCTATAGTACTTAGAAAATTCTACGGAATCATGTGGAATCTTGAAATTCAGGATTCCCTTGAATTCCATAGAATTTCATAGAGTTCCGTACAATTCCACAGACATCCAGAATTCCGCACTTTATCTCTTGTGATATTGCCCTATTTAAGTATATCTATCAATTCGGTTCATTTCTAGAAAAGGATATTGGAGCGCTAAATCTGGTACACTGATTTATCATGTCGTTTTGACACAAAAGTTGAAATGATCATCATCATACCTGAGCCAGCATAGACTTTGGCTATTTCACGAATCCGGCTCGTTGAGAGAAACCCATTAGTAGCAATGAGACAGCCTTCGTTGTTTTTCAGCGACTCTATCTCTTCCTTGATCATTTGCGTTCCGCGATAGACAACTGATGGCAAATCAACTTCAAGGTCGAGCATTTCCTGATGTTTTTCAGCCAGACTGGTGCAAAGATCGACAATGAAAAAGCGGAATGTATGCAATACTTCCATGTCTTCAGTACGTAATGCCTTGTTAATAAACTTGTAGACGAATGAATCACTCGTGTACCAACGGATCGCATTCGACGCTTGATAAGTATTATCGAAGTCCGCAATATTTTTCATCTGTGTCGAATTGTTTCGATAATAATCATAACACTGCTGAATCATACATTTTTTAGATGTGACTCTGTCATGTTCGTCGTGTTTGGTATTTTTCGGCAGATTGACGAGCATGTCTTTGAATAACTGAAACCAGAGAAATGACGCAGAATTTTCCGACAGATTCCAAAGACCTTTTTGCTTGTGATTGTAAAGATTGAACAATTGGCGACATTTATCGAGTTCTATGCTCATCGTAATAATTGACTCGACAAGATCCTTTAGATCACCGGAGACTGAAATTGCTTTCGGATATTTAGAAGTATCCATTGCATCGGGCAGCTTAGTAGATCCATAATCAAATATAAAAATTGTATCGACTTGACGTTTGCTGTGGACTGCTTCGAGCGAAGTGAATAACGGACAAACCACCAGAAACACATGCTGTTTAGGATTCAGCGATTCAATGTACGAGATACAATTAACCGAATCTTGATAGTAATGAATATCGCTGCATAGAGGTTGTAGGGTTTTGATGGTGTCATTGGATGCCGCCTGCTCATTGTACCAGACAATAATGAAATCGTCTTTGTCACGCATGTCTATAACAGAAATGGTCGTATTGATGAATTTGCTCGAGTAAAACAGGTAAAGAATACTATTTCAGAAATCTATAATTCATTTCTTCACGTTAACGGATAGTACCCTTTCCGTACAGGTCGACCCTTATTAATTTAAAACAAATCTTCTCACATAAGAGTCTGATAACTGACACTGAACGATCTTTCTTCTCCCAGGACAAAGGTTAGTGACGATTTTTATTCGCTTCTTTCCCCCAAATGTTAAACTCTTACCTGCAATTGAGATATAGGTCAACGGTTACATTAGTATATTGTTGAAAAAAAAATATTATTCATCCTTGTTGGAAAAAATCCCTCGCTAACATTGACATTTGACTTCTTATCGGAAGGAATGGATCAAATATCTATTTATATTCTTCTCCGTTTTGCATTTCTGCCACTGAAATATTGGCAGCACATGCCAACACGCCGAGAGATAAAAGAAGGAGTCAGAAAGAAAGAAATACCAAAAAAAAACAGATAGACTCCACCCCTATAAAAAAAAATTGAAAACGAATTTGCTTATAATCAATTCGCATTTTGTACATAGCCCAGTTTTTTTAGAGCATTTGCCGCGATGCTTGTATCTCCACGAAACTCATCAGAAAATTCTAGAAAACATCTCATTGTGAAGAAAACACATTCTGCCATCAGACTACGTGAAAGAAATATTTTGAATATACAGAAAAGAGAAAAATTTATGAAACGAAAACATTGAGCACCGGGAGTGGTCTCATTTTGTAGCCCACACTTTCCTCTACATTAGGCTATGGTCAGCTCAGAATCGAAATTTTTTCAAAAAAGAGGGGGAGGGTGTACCCTTAAACTAATTTTCACTATCAAATTTATTTAAATTCAATAAAATCTCTCCTTTATCAGTCAAATGTGTATATTCGATCGAGAAAGAAGTCACCGAAGGTATTTTTTGCATCACGAGTAGGGGTGGCACATTACTATTACTTTTAAGAGTAATCCAAATATTGTATATATTCCTATTACCAGTAACAGTAATATTTTCCAGTTTTACTGTTGCTGGTAATAGGAAATAGGAACGCTCAGAAAATTTGTACCGGCAACAGTAAAACTGGAAAATATTACTATTACTGGTAATAGGAATATATACAATATTTGGATTACTCTTAAAAGTAATAGTAATGTGCCACCCCTAATCACGAGTTTTCTCCCAACTCTGCAAAAATAAGGTAAAAGATAAGCTTACTCAGCTTTTATTTCCCACTACTACTTAACATGTTATGAATGCCAATAATTCGATCAAAAACTACAACCTCCTGGCGCTCGTATTTGCAGCTAAGCAGCTAGAGACCTAGGGTTTTCGTTGTTGGAAGGCGAAAAGATAACTTTATGCTTTTCTGTAACATTCAGCGAACTCACACCCGGACTTTTGGCGCAACCTATCTGTGAAGATTATTGAAGTACGCTTAGCGCCAAAATTTCGTATAACACAGGGTTGTCGTTGGACATACATTCGATAGAGTAGTCTATCATTTGTCACCAACCGCAGATTTTTATCTTATGTCGTTCGCGAGCTATAGGTAAGCTATGGAGACCTACCTATGCCAACTTTCTTCATGTTGTTTGACTAAATTCAGGGATAATCGACCATGCTGATCATCGTGGCAATGCTTATTCTCATCTAGCATTCTTTTCTGACCAGTAAAAAAAGGTTTATTGCTCAGTAGACTTTTTAGTGGTACAAGGTACTCACGAAAGGCTTTTTTTGCTATTCTGACGAAGGAACGTCTCCAACTTGAAAATTACTTTTGGCTCAAAACCAGTGAAGAATAGGTTATCCACCATGCTGATTCTGAATATCGACATGATAGTCGGTAGCTAAAGACCGATGACTCATCCTCTTTACAAGCTACTTTTCACTGTAACAGACTCTATCTTTATGTTGGAGCACTTTGTGATTAAATTTTGTCCTAATGGCTATTTTGATATGACTCAAATTCTTCTTATAGCCGTCGTTTGCGGTTTACATTTGAAAAGTATTCAATCGGCCTCTCTGCTAAATATTCAGCGTTACAGAAAATGACTACTCGGTTATGGTGGAAGAAAATGATAAAACAAAGGATTTCTTTTCGGATTTTCAGCCATTGACTGCTCGTTATCGCTTGTAGTGTACTCAGCCATGCATTATACAGTTATTTTTGTTGTCAGGGCTACTCTCTGTATATTTCTTTTGAATTTTGAACTTTAATGTGTTTGAGAAATGGGTTTTGCTTTCATTTCGTATTTTTGACGTTTATTTGGCTAAACGTTTCGGACTACACGCTACTTTCCCA